ACAGTTGATCCTCATGACAACCTGATAAAAGTTTTTATCACTAGTTCTATTCTACCCATGATAATATTGAGGATTAGAAAGGTTAAACAAAATGCTAAGGTTATTCTGCTGGAAACTGATAAAGAGGAGATTAAAATACCACAGGCTGACTCCAAACCCCTAACCCACCACTCCACATATTACTCCTCTCCGCCATGAAAGCAGTCTTATGAAAAGGAAAAACCTCAATCTCCAGTCTTTTAAAGAGAGTGAGAGGGAGGGAGAGAGGGGGAGAAAGAGAGAGAGAGGATCATCCTTGTGACACTGTCCAAATTAAAACCCAAGACTACCATAGCCAGTGCTGCTCAATGGACAGAGCGTCGGGCCTCACACTGAATGGTTGTGTGTTTTCCCAGTCAAGGGCATATACTTGGGTTGCAAGTTCAATCCCTGGTCCCGGTTGGAGCGCACGTGGGAGGCAACCAATTGATGTCTCTCTCTCTACCTTCTATTATACTCTCAAAAAAATCAATGGGAAAAATATCCTTGTGAAAATTTACCAAAAACAAACAAAAAAACCCTATACTCCTCCATTCTTCCTTCACCTTTTCTTTTTTCTCCGTCGTGCAGCTGGGTCTTCATCCTCATTGTACTCCCTTGGCATCCTAGAAGAGAAAGAAACTCACTGATAACAAAATACTGCCACAGCCCCAGAAACCCTAGTGACCTTGAGGTGCTGAAGAAAGATCTAGAATAGCAGTCGCCAACCTTTCGGACCTCAGAGACCACCAGTGGTCTGCGGACTACTGGTTGGCAACCGCTGCTCCAAAGTTTTCCTTAAACCAGCAGTCGCCAACCTTTCGGACCTCATGGACCACCTGGTTGGCGACCGCTAGTCTAGAACACGGGCCAAAGCAAGAGTTTCCATCAGGCAGGGATCCATGTTAATATCTGTAGGTGAGTGGTTCTCTCTTTAGAGAGGATCGCAACCACTTAAAGGAATATTAAAATTATGTGCCCCAAAATATTTGCCCCCAATCTGAGTTCATGGGGCTAGAATGGGCCCAGAAATCTGCCTATTTAAGCACCAGCAGCAACTCTAGTACAAGTGGTTCATGGAACATACTCTGAGAAGTGGGATCCCAGAGCATCCCAGGTTCCCTGGAGCTTCAATCTCCAGAAAGAAAGAATCAGAACCACAGGCTTTGTTAAAAAAGAACCAGCCTTCCAGTTCCTAAGACATCTAGATCAGTAGCTTTTCTGTAGGAAGGAGATGGGAGACAGGTTGGGTCACCCCAGAACTTACTCATGGTGACGTGACTTCGAGGGTGGTGCAGAAGTAGGTGCAGCCCTTGGGGTCATGAGAAGTTTCCTGAAGTCTTCATTAGTGAGTTTTGATCTAGAAGGCAAAGACTTTGAACATCAGTAGCCAATAAGATTTGGAAAAGAAATATGCAAAAAACACGGCTAATTTTAGTGGAAATTAAGAAAATACAACTTAAAACAAAAACATGCCATCTGGTGAGGTAGCTCAATTGATTAGAGCATCATCCCAATATGCCAAGGATGCGGGTTCAATGCCCGGTCATACAAGAATCAACCCATGAATGTATAAATAAGTAGAATAGATCAGTGTCTCTCAAATCACTAAACAATTAAAAAAAACACAATCGATCACCCTGTCCAGTTTTGCTTAGAGCAAAAGTTCAAGCACCAAAGGGTCTCAGGTTTGATTCTCAATCAAGGGCATGTACCTGGGTTGCAGGTTCAATCCCCAGCCCCATTGGGGCATATTTTGGAGGCAACCAATCTATGTGTCTTTCTCACATGGATTTTATTTTTCTCTCTCTCTCTCCCCCTCCCTTCCACTCTATTTAAAAAAGTCAATGGAAAGCCCAGCCGGCATTGCTCAATGGTTGAGTGTCAACCTATGAGACCCATAAACCAGGAGGTCACAGTTCGATTTCTTGCCACAATGCCTGGGTTATGGGCTGAATCTCCAGTATGGGGCCTGCAGGAGGCAGCTGACCAATGATTCTCTCTCATCACTCACGTTTCTCTCTCACTCCCCTCTCTCCCTTCCTCTCTGAAATCAATAAAAATGTATTTTTTTTAAAAATCAATGGAGCCGAAACCGGTTTGGCTCAGTGGATAGAGAGTCGGCCTGCTGATTGAAAGGTCCCGGGTTCAATTCCAGTCAAGGGCATGTACCTTGGTTGCGGGCACATCTCCAGTAGGGGGTGTGCAAGAGGCAGCTGATCGATGATTCTCTCTCATCAATATTTCTCACTATCTATCCCTCTCTCTTCCTCTGTAAAAAATCAATAAAATATATATTTTTTAAAATCAATGGAAAAAATCGTCAGAAGAGAATTAACCAAAAAACAAACAAACATGCCACTTCTAATGCCTCAGAGTGCTAATATTTATAAAATTATTATCTTATTTCCCTAAGAGTTGATTTCTAATCTTAGACTTAATCTCTTTTGACTTTTTTTAAAAATATATTTTTATTGATTTCAAAGAGGAAGGGAAAGAGGGGAGATAGAAACATCAATGATGAGAGAGACCCACTGTTTGGCTGCCTCTTGCACACCCCTGCTGGGGATCAAACCCAAAACTCAGGCATGTGCCCCTGAATGGAATCGAACCCGGGAGTCTTCAGTCCCCAGGCCGATGCTCTATCCACTGAGCCAAAACAGCTAAGGCCAGAGTGGTAATTTTTATTCACTTTTCAGTGTTAATTTTTAAAAACGCTTGATAAATTAACTATTAAAAAGAATTTGAAAAGTGGATATTTTCATATACTGCTGACAGAATGTAAGTAGAATCTATTTGGAGGGCAATCTGGCAGTATATATTAAAACTAAAGGCCCCATGCACAAATTCGTGCACAGTGTGTCTGTGAGTGTGTGTGTGTGTGTGTGTGTGTGTGTCCCCCTCAGCCTGGACTGCCCCTCTGGCAATCTGGGACCCCTTGGGTAGGGTCCCTAGGCCTGGCCAGCAATCAGGGCCTATCAGATCTCTCTCTCTCTCTCTCACACCCACACACACACACACACACACACACACCCGCCACCCCTGCCCACTGCTGGCAGCTGGCCCTGCCCCCACTGCTGCCACTGTTTGCCACCTGTGCGGTGGTGTCCTCTCACCCCCACCACCGGTCTCTTCCCTATGCAGGTGACAGGTGTGTGGTGAGACTGCTTGGCTGGCCTGGGCCTCCCTCTGTGGGCAATCACTGGCTGGCCCCGCTCACTCACCACAGCATCGCTGGTGCTGGTCTTGCCCACCGGACTGAGGCTCCACGATCAATTGCTGTGCAGAGGGAGGCCCCACCCACCTGCCACAGTGCTGCCAGCAAGATAGCCTGGGCCTCCTTCTTTGGGGAGATCGATCACAGGGCTCTGCAATAGTGGAGCCGCCTCTTTGCCCCCCAATCAATCGCCCCGCTGGCTGGTGGTCTGGGTCTCCCTCTGCAGGGTGATCGATTGTGGAGCCCCCCCCCCCCCCCATTTATCACCCCACAGAGCGTGGCCTGGGCCTCCCTCTGCAGGACAGTCATGGGATGGTGGCCGGGCCCCCTGACCAATCCCATCGCACCCACCTTTCCTGGCCTGGCACCAGTGCATGTCATAGCATGGTCGTCTGGACAGCTGTTCTGCTGTTCAGTCATTCAGTTGATTTGCATATTACATTTTTTTTATTATAGATTTAAGTGTGTACATCCTATGACCAATTTCGTTCATCTATATACGGCCAATTACTGGCATCTATATATATATAAAAGCTTAAGCAACTGTCTGACAGCTATGACACACAATGACCACCAGGGAGCAGATGCTCAACACACAGGCAGGGAAACAGGGAATAGACTGGTGAATCTCAGAAGGTAGGGGAGAGGGGAAGGGTAGGAAGAGATTAACCAAAGAGCTAATATGCATACTAGAGGCCTGATGCAGGGATTCAAGCACGGGGGGGGGGGGGGGTCCCCTCAGCCTGGCCTATGGGGATCCCATTAAAGGGGCAAGTGGTACAATTTTTTGACCATCCTTGCTGACAAGACACTTAGGATTCTTTGACCATCGCCACCACCACGTCCACCTCCACCTCCACCCTACTCATTGTCCAGCTTATTCCCATGGTCCTAGGTCAAAACACTCACTGGTGGAAGGAGTGAGGATCATCCACATCGTGGCCATCTGGGGCCAAGGGGTTGGAGAACGGCTCACCTGAGAAAAAGAATTAGCATAAATTTAATCCATCTCTTTTGTGTCAGGTCCTGTGCAAAAGTTGGGATTTAATAGTGAACAATACAGATTTGCTTTCCTGTCAAATTGCTCACAATCTAGTGAGGAAGAAAAGGCAAGAATAACGACAGTAATAATCCAATGCAGTAAGTAATGAAGTGGGAAAAAATACAAAGGGTTGTAGGAGCCCAGAGGACAGGGTCCCTAAGCCAGCGCTGGAAGATCAGCAAAGTCTTCCACGGGATAACATCTAAGATACCAGGAGAGAGACAAGTTGGATCAACCCAAATTAAGTGATGCCAGGTTGGGGAGAAGGGGAGTAAAGTTCACAGATCAGCTCTATCTGCCGTCACTTAGAGCAAAGACGAGACAGACTGGGGCTGCCCAGCCTCACTCGGGGTCCCACGGCTTCGCCAGGCTCCAGGCGTCACTCCGGCCCTTCTCCACCCACCCACACACACCCCCGGTTTAAAGCCAAAATAACGCGCCGAGCGTCCCGAGTTCCTCCGAGAAGAAAGGGCGGATAACGACACTTACTGTCCCGCTCCGGCATTTCGTCCGCGGTCTCGACGCCACGAAGCGCTCAGTCCCCAACAACAGAGTAGCGACAGCTTCCTCCCCGGAAACACCTCCGGAGACAACCCACAGTGCCTTGCGCCCCACACTCTCGCCCGGAAACTGGAGGACACTCGGGCGCCCTACAAAGCTTTCGTAGCGGTAGCTCGACGTGGCCCCGCCCCCTTACGTCAGCCCAACTATCGCGAGACTGGAGGGTCCGCGATTGGTCGGTCTGGAGAGCTCGGCCGGGAGGCGTGTGCCGGGTCCTGGGTACGCGCGGAGATGGCGGCGGCGGCGGCGAGTCGAGGCGCCAACCTGGGTCTCCGGGAGATTCGCCTCCACTTATGCCAGCGCTCGCCTGGCAGCCAGGGCGTCAGGTGAGGCGCAGCGTGGTGGGCGGGGGGGCGGGCTTCGGGTCGCCGGGGTCACGACCTCGACCTCGACCTCCCGGGCGTTTGGGAAGGCCCGCGCCCACACCGTACGCGCGGCGCTTTCTGGGCCCCGCAGGGAATTCATCGAGAAACGCTACGTGGAGCTGAAGAAGGCGAACCCCGACCTGCCCATCCTAATCCGCGAGTGCTCCGAGGTGCAGCCCAAGCTCTGGGCCCGCTACGGTGAGTGCCGGGGACCCCGGTGGGGAAACAAGGGTTCGAGGAGAGAAACCGCCGCCACGGCCTAACAGAAATTTGTGGAGAGACCGGGACCGGCCAGAGTCCTTGCTTTTGACCTTGTTGCCAATAAGAAACTTTACGTTGGTACGATTATAGGATGCTTCGTCCTGGGTAACGGCCGTGTGGAGGCGGGCCCCGTCCTGCTTAGGGCACAGGAGCTGTCATTTTTGTGATCCAGGAGAGGTTTCAGACAGAGCAAGAAGAGGTGCTGATCAGTTCTGGTCAATGTAGGTCCTTCCAACTTATGTGTGGGCAGTGCCAGGAGTGTCAGAACCTCAATAATGAAAACCTAAAGTCATGATTCTGTGTTGAAACTTAATGCTAGGCTCTGTGCTGGGTGCTTTCCTACCTAAATCTCATTTAATCTTCGTTATGTGAGAGGGTTATGTAGCTGGATATAACGGGGTTGTTCCTAGAATGCACTTCTGCCAGACAGCCATGGCTGGCTCCTTATTCGGGTTGTTATGTTCAGTTCTGAGTTTATATATCTCTTCAAAAAGGCATTCCCAGACCAGTTATGTAACCTGGCCCCTATCTCTAACCACTTAACTGGCCAGGGTCCTTTTCAGGCATTTTATTTTATAATATATATTTTTAAATATATTTTTATTGATTTCAGAGAGGAAGGAAGAGGGAGAAACATCAATGATGAGAGAGAATCATCTCCTGCACACCCCATATCTACAGCCCTGGCATATGCCCTGATCGGGAATTGAACCGTAACCTTCTGGTTCATAGATTGAGGCTCAATCACTGAGCCACACCTGCTGGGCTTTCAGGCATTTCAAAGGCTGGGTGTTTAGAGCCCGGTCTTTCAGGGGATCAATGGAATGTTCATTAGCTTTATGATCTACCAAAATGAGATTTATTTTGGTTGGCAAATGGCACTTAATTAGATTTCTGTTATCTGTCTCCCTATACTATTAAGCATCCTTGGTTTAGGGAAAATAGGATTTACTAGGTGGCTGCAAACAACTGTTTAACTGTCTGTCTTTCCCTATTCCGTAAGTCCTAGCTTCATACTAATCTGTAACAATTTCTATTTCAATTTGCTATAATCTGAAAACCACTTTCATGTTGCCTAACAATTAGTAGGCATGCAATCAATATTTATACATACTGAATACTAGTATTTTGATCATTTAAAAAAAAATTTTATTGATTTGAGAGAGGAAGGGAGAGGCAGAGAGAGAGAAACATCAGTGATGAGAGAAAATCATTGACTGGCTGTGTCCTGCACACCCACATTAGGGATGGAGCCCGAAACCAGGGCATGTGTCCTGACAGGGAATGGAACTGTAACCTCTTGGTTCATGGGTCCATGCTCATCCACAGAGTCACTCCAGCCTGGCTAATCTTGGTTTTTAACACCTTGCCCTAGACATGTCTGGAGAAAGAGGGAAGTCACACCTAAGGCAGATTGGTTCTAACAGTGGGCATGTGTAGTAATGCCAGGCACTAAAAACAAGAAGAAAAAGGGTTCTCCTTCCAAAAAACAGTAGACTAGAGAGATGGACTCAAATAGCTATAGTGCATTATACTAGATGGTCTTTGGCAGTGGTTGGCAAACTCATTAGTCAACAGTCAAATATCAACAGTACAACGATTGAAATTTATTTTGAGAGCCAAATTTTTAAAACTTAAACTTCTAACGCCACTTCTTCAAAATAAACTTGCCCAGGCCATGGTATTTTGTGGAAGAGCCGCACTCAAAGGGCCAAAGAGCCACATGTGGCCCGTGAGCAGCAGTTTGCCAACCATAGGTCTATGGGAACCACAGAATGGGTATCCTGTCAAGATTAGATCCATGCAATGCACTGCTCACATGGTTAATAAATGCCTGCTGTGCCCCTTACATTTCCTTGAAACACCTTCCTTACCATTGTGGCCACCCACAATCAGCCAAAATTCCAGTTGGATCTAGGCTTCCTAGATGTGCTTGAGGCCTAGGGGGCGTAATTCTAGGCCTACCAAACCCACCTTGGTCATCTTTTTACTACCCTTCCTATCAGAACAACACCTTGAGTTGATGACAAAGACCTGTTGTTATACTCTGCTAGCCCCCACAGTGCGAGTGGATACTTAGTCACCTCTCTTTCTCTCCAGCATTCGGCCAAGAGAAGAATGTCTCCTTGAACAACTTCAGTGCTGATCAGGTAACCAGAGCCGTAGAGAATGTGCTAAGCGGCAGAGCCTGAAGCCTTCGATGAGGATTAAGAGCAACAGCCCACAGCCTGGGCTCTGCCGGACTGAGTACAATGTGGAAAAATGTGTTCTATTGTTTATAAAGCTTGTGCTGTAAGACCCTGTCTCAGGATGTTCTTTACCTCATTCCACCCTCTACCCCTTATTATGCAACCACTGAGGCAAAGCAATTTAATATAAAAATAAGACTTTATTCTGCCCCATCAAAAGCTACCAGCTGCTAAAGCAAAAAAAAAAAGAGAGAGAGAGAGAGAGATTCCAGGGCCCCAGAGTAAGTAGACCACAGCCACTTCCCTCTAATCCCGTATGGTCAGTGCTGAGTGAAAGGAAGGGCTGGAGTCTAAAGGTCTTGGTTTAGGCTTCGATGTGGATGAGAACATGAGGCCTCATTAACCCTCCCACCACCATAAGGGGCTCCATGGGGCACAGAGCTGGGGGGTGGGGGGGTGGAGTAAAGAGACACTGAGAAGCAGTCATCTGTGGAGAGCTGTCTGCTGGAGAGCAAGCACTCGGTCCTGGAGCTGTGCTTCCTCCTCGTGCCTTTTAAGGGCCTGCAGCCCTGATTGCTGCAGGAAGGCCTGGGCAGCCTAAAGGCAGGGAAGAAAAGGATTCGGCACCTGGGTCTCTGTGCCTAACATTCAATTCCCAGAGCGTTAGGGGTCAGCCCACCTCTTCTTGGGAAAGGGTACATTCCCAGCAAGAGGATGCAGGCTCTGACCTGGACACAGACTAGCCAGGTCCAGAGAAGTGGCTATAGTTAGAACGAAGGAAAGGAGCCATGGTTAGACTAGAAGCTTCAGATCAAGGATTGAGAACCAGAAACCAACCTCTGGCCGGTAGAGGAACAGCAGTTGCAGCAGCTCCAAACTCTGGCCTACTACATCAGTGTCAGACAAGGCCAATGTGTCCAGCAAGGAGGAGAGCAGGGGCCCTGGCCAAAGATGCCAGCAATAAGCAGGACCCTTCTCTGCAACGTTGCACAGAACTGTGAGCACCTGTAGAGAGAGATGTATATACACAGTCCCCACTAAGAATGAAAGCCAATGACTAAAAAAAAAAAAATATAGAGAGTGCTGACCACATGCCCAAGGCACTGTGCCAAGCAGTTTTATAAGCAAATTCAGTAATCTCCACAGCTGCCCTCAGGTAGTATCATTCCTAATTATAAATCAGGAAACAAACTTAAGATGTAAATCAGGAAACAAACTTAAGATGGTGAGTTGATTTTTCCCAAGAATAGTATCTAGTAAACCAATTTAGGGATTCGTGCCTAGATGGGTCTAGCCCTGAGGCCATCCATACTATACCACCTGCCAGCTCTCAGGTAAGGGCCCTTCTGAGCTCCTACTGTTATACTTCAGCCTCTAGACTAGGGGTGTCGAACTCAATCAGAGAAGGGGCCAAAATCTAAAATCCAGCCTAAATCGCGGGCCGAATGGTTTACTGAACAGTCATAAACTGTCATTGTGATGGAAACGCAGTGGAGTGCAGTGATGACAGCGCGGTGCAGGCCACATTGCAAGGCCTGGTGGGACGGATTTGGCCCGCGGGCCTTGTGTTTGACACATGTGCTCTAGACCTTGGGCTCAGGTGACTCCCAGTACCTACCAATACGCTCACCACATTAGATACTGGCAACAACTGCAAGAGAGGCTTGATCAGATCCAGGGAGAGCAAGGAGGTACAAATGCTAGGGCTGTTTGCTGGAAGGAAAAATGTCAGGGTGAAGTCCCCCTAACTGCAACCTGAAAATGCCCCCTCTCAATCCTACCCACCTCAGTCCAAAACAAGGACATTTTCCCAGTATCTGAAGGTCCAGCCTATGCAAGATTATGGCTCTTACCAGTGAGGTTATTAAGAAGCCAAAGGCCCTCGGGAAGCAGGCTGGGGTGTTTCTGGAGGAGGAACTGCAGAAGGATAAAGACGGAGACCACAACACGCTCATCTCTGAGCTGCACTTGCCCTCCCTCAGCTTCCACCGCCTCCTCTGTTAGCAAGTTGCTTAGACACCGAAGCACAGGGCACACCAGCTGCAAAGACAAGGTGGGGGTCAGGTATAAGGAGGAGGGGACTCCCTGCACACTGGAAGAGGAACAGTAGGAGGAAAGGTTGCGCCGATCTTGACCTGTGCTCTTCACCTACCAACTCCAGTCCTGCATCTTCAGGACTCTGGACAGACCCCGCCAAGTACAGCAGTAGCAGCCCCAGAGTGGAGACCGCCCCATGGGTGATGAGCAGGGCATTATTGACCTGGCTGGGCAATAAGAAGCAAGTAGTTACTAAGCCATTTCTACCTTTAAGCTTGCAATCAGCCTAGGTCTGTGGGTTTCCTGGGTTACAAGAAGAGAAGACCAGGAAAGGAAGACCTTCCATGGAATTACTGAGAGGGGGCATTTTCACCACCATAATTCCAGAAACCAAAGTTCAAACACCTGAGTGGCAAGAAGGGAGCCCATGAAAGGCCTGTGGTACTTTCCCAGCTGGCCTGTGTTACCTGCAGATGATGTAGTGAAGGCACCAGGCAAACTCCACAGCGACCCCAGGGTTCAGCTTTGGTCCAGGTTGCAATAGTCGCAGCATATGCTGGGGAATAGAGGAGGCCAGGACGGAACTGCAGGCAGAAACAGAGCTCTGATTAGAAACCACGGAAGGCAAGATGCCTGCCACTCCTCCCAAACCCTAACAGCAGGTGGGAAAGTGTCCCAACCCAAGCCCTTCCCAGCCAGCCACATGGGGTTAAGTGTACAACAGCGATGAAGCCAGGTCTTGGGGGCTACACTACCACGTGGGCCACTCCTGAAGGCACATCTGGAGACAGTACTACTTACGGGATGATCTTCTTCGGCGCTTCCTTAGCCTGCAGGAGCTGGGACAAAGCATATCCAAGGGCTTCAAGCACAGGCAGATGGGGGGACTGGAAGGAGACAGGGTAGGGATCTGGCTCTGGAAGCTAGGCCGGAAGATTTCCAACCCCTTAGCCAATGGCAATGGCTGGAACTGCCTAACCAAAGCAGCTGGGGCATGTGGAAAGAGGTAAGGGGAGGGCTGTTCAGGAAAGTCAGGTGGACGCTCACCTGGATGCAGGAAGCCAAGGCTGGAACAATGCCCTGTGGCAGGAGCTGCCTTCTCCCAGCTTCACTCTCCACAATCAGGTTACCCAGTGTATACAGACAGAGCTCCTGAGAACAGGACAAAAGCACTGGGCGTGGCCCACGGCAAGCCAGCGTGGAGGTGGGGATGGGGAAGATGGAGCACCCTGTTCTTGAGGCTCTGGGTACTGGAGGATAGAAGGTGATGGGTGTGTACAGGGCTGTGGGCATCAGGGGAAACAGGTTTTCTTCTCCCCACCTGCCAGCTCAAACTGGACCCAAAGACACAATTTTAAAACTCAAACCAAAAACCAGGTAGAGGTGATAGGGCTTACTATAAGGTCTGAGCTGTGACCGGCGAGGTAGGTGAGAAGGTAGGACGTGGCTGGCAGGCAGGCCTCAGCCACTTCAGACTGCTCGGAATGAGAGAGCTCATGAAGGCACCGAGCCGCCTCAAGCTGCAACAGGGCGTGGTTGCTGGTCAGGAGCCCAACCAGGGTCCGCATGCTGCCCTCCAACCTACACGAGTGAGTACCAGAGCGCTGCTCAGCCTGCGGCCCCTCCCCTCCACACCTATCCGTCCCTTAGAACCCAGCCACCCACTGACCTGATGAAGGTCTGCTGTGTCTCTGGGTGCTGCAAGCCTCGACGAAGGCTGACCAGAGCTCCTTCTCTCTCCTTTTCCTCTGTCCCCCGCTGGGCTAACCACAGGAACTGCTGGATCTAGGGCCCAGGGCAGGGAGAGATGGCAACACACAGTTGTCAGAAAGCAAATCAAGACCTGCTCTGCCTAACTTCACCTGTGAGCCTTCCAATATTGCACCATCCCTAGAACTTGTCATTCACACTAATATGGTTAATAAGTGCCAACAGTGCAGTAGAGTGGAAAGAAGAGGGAATCAGCTCAGCCACTTACTCTATAAAGGACCTAAACATCAGTTTCTCACCTGGAAAAAAATAGGAGTAACTTCTATCTTGTTTTCTTACAGGGTTGTTTCAAAGATAATATTTAAATCTCTCAGCCTGGCATAATCTATGCTTCCTCATGCTCCCCATGCAGCCTATACCCTAACACCTAATATAACATAACTTTTTAGTGCTGCCAAGATTTTGTACTATCAACCCAGCCGGTGTAGCTCAGTGGTTGAGCATTGACTTAGGAACCAGGAGGTCACGGTTCAATTCCTGGTCAGGGCACATGCCTGAATTGCGAGCTTGATCCCGAACTAAATGAGGGCAGAAAGCGGCCGATCAATGATTCTCTCTCACCATTGATGTTTCTTTCTGTCTCTCCCTCTCCCTTCTCTAAAATCAATAAAAATATATTTACTAGCAAAAAGAAAAGATTTGGCATCTGGGGGAGATGCCAAAGAGATCAACCGAAGGACTTGTATACATGCATATAAGTACAACCAATGGACACAAAACTCTGGGGAGGGAGGGTACGTATGGGAGGGGGCAATGTTAAAATATGTACACAGATAATAATTTAATAAATTAATTAATTAAAAAAATTTAAAAAAGATTTTGCATAATCTATTTCTTCTGCCTGGCATACCCTCCCCAGGTCTTCCACTTCTTTCGGATTTCTGCTCTTGTCACTGCCTATGGAGAATTAGCCTTTTCTGGCTTCCTGTGGCAGACTTACGGTCTCTTTCATGGACTGAGAACACTTCAGAGAAAGGGACTCTCTTTTCCTCTTGCATACCTCAGGACCCAGCACAGCTCTTGGCATAAAGTAAGTACACAATGAATAAATGGTATAACCCCGGTGTAAGTGCTTTTTAAACTATACATGTAAACATAGATAACACAGCCCTGCCAGCGTGATGCAGTGGTTGAGTGTTGACCTATGAACCAGGAGGTCACGTTCAATTCCCGGTAGAGGCATATGCCTAAGTTGTGAGCCCATTGATGATTCTCTCTCATCATTGATGTTTTCATCTCTCTCTCCCTCTCCCCTCCTCTCTGGAACCAATAAAAATATATTTAAAAACAAACAAACAAAATAATACAAACAGGGGATGCCCAATGCTTATTGAATAGAATAAATGAACTTAAACCAATGCTTTCATTCACTTAATATATACTGAGCATCTCCTATATGCCAAATATTGTGCAGGCATCTGAGTTTTCAATGATGACAAAGATTAAGAGTCTATGTTCCTATGGACTTAAAAAATTAGATGGAAAATTGATAATAAACAAACAAATTAGGACAGGATAATTAATATTCTGTAAACAGGTTAAGACAAAATACCAAAAGAGATGCAGCAAAGGCAAGGGCCTTGTGACAGGAAAGAGCCTGGTATATTGTTCCAAAAACTGAAAAGGGGGCAGTTTGGCTGAGATGAGTAAGTTGATAAGGTTGGGGTTGGTAGAGGTTAGACTAGGCTGAACTTTAATGGGTCACAGAAAAGAGTTTGGTCTATTTTTAAAAAAGGCATCTGACTGATGTATGAAGAATGAACTTGAGGGTGGCAAGCATAGATGCAGATGGCCTGTTCCGAGGTTGCAGTAAGCATCCACTGGAGGGTGGTGGAGAGCTGCGATGGGGAGGCATGTAAAACCTTCAGAGTTCTTGCCCTAAGGGGCTTGGCTCAGTGGATAGAGCCTCTGCCCAAGGAATGAAGGGTCCCGTGCCACTCCGAGGGCACGTACTTGGCCTTGGACGATCCCTGGCCTGGACAGGGTGCATACACGAGGCAACCAAACGATGTGTCTCTCTAGTGATGTGACACATAGGTGTTTCTCTCTGTCTTTCCCTCTCCCTCTAAAACAAACAAAACAAACAAAATCAATGAAAAAATATCCTCGGGTGAGGATTTTAAAAACACGCAAAACTTCAGAGTTCTTTACAGGTAAAAAAACGGCTAGATCTTGAAGTACTGATGTGGGGATGAGTAGGGATGGGGGTGGAGGTTGACACCCGTTTCTGGCTTGGCCCACTGGAGGTTTTGAAGGGACCGCATTCAGGTTTGGGGATGACCTCGAGGAAGGAATTTGGCGCCAGCTTGCATGGACCTCACCGCGCACCCTGACCCCCTCACCTCGGCTTCCCCGAGGATGGAGGCCACACTTCCCCCTTCGGCTTCCTCTGGGGTGTCGTCTCTCAGCAGCCTCTTGCTGACCAGCTGCTGCTCCCTCCGGGCCCGCCGCAGTGCTGGGGACAAAGGAGTCGGCTGGGGGCAACGGAAGGTCACCCAGCACCCAGAACCCCAACTCCCTCCCAGGGGCCTCCCACCGCCATCCCCCCACCTTCCCGTGTTCCCTCCCGCCCGCACCTGCCTCCCGCTCCCGCCGGCGGCGCCGCAGCTCCTCCACCCCGCATCCCACCGGCCTGAGAAGGCCTTGCCGTGGACTCAGCATGGTGTGGAGCTGGAGGAAAGCCCCACTGGACGGCAGACTGGGGACAGGAACGCAGACCCCACGCTTAGAAGATGGCAGGGACCGCGCAGCCGCGGCGCTGGCGGAAGGAGAGGGGAGGCCGAGGAGCACGGCGCGGAGGAAAGCGGGGCCGAGGGGAGGAGCGGCCAGCGGCTGGGGCGGGGCGAGTGGTGGGCGGGGTCAGAGGAGGGGAGGCGGGGCGAAGGGAGAGCAGGGCGGGTCAGTGGAGAGGAGGCGGGGCTAAGGGGAGGGCGGGGCGGGGCAAAGGCAGAGGGTGGGATCTGGGCTGAGAGCCCAGTGAAAGCAGCGCAGCCTTGTTTTCTCCCCAATTCTAGGAAAGAAAGAAAAGCCCTAGCTGGTTTGACTCAGTGGCTAGAGCTTCGCCCGCAGGCTGAAAGGGTCCCAGGTTCAATTCCTGCCAAGGGCATGCCCAGGTTGTGGGTGCGTATCCCCAGTGTGAGGTGTGCAGGAGCCAATCAATTTTATTCTCGCTCATCATTGATGTTTCTATCTCTCCCTCTCCCTCACTCTCTGAAATCAATAAAAATGTACTTTAAAAAATAATATTGATAGATCCTCCCTTCCTCCAGTTGATGGATGTATGTAAACCCCACCTGTGGCCAGACTTTCCTGAGCACTGAACCACCAATCAGCACCTGCCAAACACCCTAAGCCCCTGATTTCTAAGTCCCTAGGTCCCTAATCATAGGCCTTACATGAAACCACCAATCAACGTGTGCTGAGTGCCCTAAGCCTCGTCCCCTTAAAAAGGGCATGGACCCTCGCTGCCTTCTGCGCTCTCTCTGGAAGCAGTTGTCTGTGGTACTCTTCTCTTCAATAAAGCCTGTGTCCTGACATCCCGGTCTCCAGCACCTTCTCTATTTGATCTTCCAAACATAAGAATGATAAATTTGTTTTTAAAAAATAAAGCAACTCAATCCTGACCTCGGCCACCCCAGGTCAGTAAGCAAACTTCCCCATTCCTAACACACCCAGGAACATTCAAAACTAACCCCAGCTCCAGGAAGATATGATACCATTTCACCAAATATTCATTGTGTTAGTGGTGAGATGTTATCTGTACCCCCATCCACCCTACCTCCATCAGCACCCTTCGTGTAGATGAGTGGCCATGAGTTGCCATATTGAATGTTCGCGGTAACGATTATACCCATTTTACACTGAGGAAAATGAGACAAATAAAATTATTTCACTGGTCTGCACAAAAGTGAGTCGCATTGGGGGGTGAGGGCTTAAGTGGGGGTAGGAGATTGGGAGGTTAATGGAGGGATGAGGACACATATGTAATACCTTAATCAATAAAGAAAATTTTTTAAAAAGTGAGTCGCATTATTTTTAGAATAAAGTAATTAACCAAGTTTTGAGCGCCACTGATTGACTAGGTACTGGGGAAACACTGGTGAGTTTTTAAATTTTTAAATTTAATTTAGAGAGAGAGAGCAAAGGAGAGGGAGAAATAGAAACATGAGAGACAATCAACATCAATTAACATCCATCTGAAGCCTCCTGCACGCCCCCTACTGACTATCGAGCTGGCAACTGGAGCATGTGCCCGGACCCGGAATCAAACCAGTGACCTTGCCAAAACTCGTTTGGCTCAGTGGTAGAGTGTCAGTCTGCGGACTGAAAGGTCCCGGTTCGATTCCAGTCAAGGGCATGTACATTGGCTGTGGGTGGGCTGAGGGCACATCCCCAGTGGGGGATGTGCAGGAGGCAGCTGGTCGATGTTTCTCTTTCATCGGTTTCTCTTTCATCGACGTTTCTGGCTCTCTATCTCTCTCCCTTCCACTCTGTAAAAAATAAATAAAATATATATTTTTTAAAAAACACACACAAAAAAAACCCCAGTGACCTCTTGGTGTATGGTTCCACACTCAACCACTGAGCCACACCAGCTGAGCCCAACATTGGTGAGTTTTATTATTATTATTATTTTTAAATCTATTGCCGAAATCGGTTTGGCTCAGTGGATAGAGCATCAGCTTGCGTTCTGAAAGGTCCCAGGTTCGATTCTGGTCAAGGGCATGTACCTTGGTTGTGGGCACATCCCCAAAGGGGGACGTGCAGGGGATGTGATCGATGTTTCTAACTCTCTCTTCTCTTGCTCTCCCTTCCTCTCTGTAAAAAATCAATAAAATATAGATTTAAAATATTTTTATTGATTTCAAAGAGGAAGGAAGAGGGAGAAAGAGATAGAAACATCAATGATGAGAGCGAATCATTGATTGGCTGCCTCTTGAATGCCCCCTACTGGGGATGGAGGCATGTGCACTTGACTGGAATCGAACCCGGGACCCTTCAGCCCAGAGGTGGATGTTCTATCCATTGAGCCAAATCAGCTGGGGCAACATTGTTGAGTTCCTTGCCCTGGCTGGTGTGGTTCAACAGTTAGAGCAAAGTTGTGAGGGTTCAATTCCTGGTCAAGGGCATGTACCTGGGTTCTATCCTGTCCAGTTGGGGCACATGTGGGAGGCAACCAGTCAATGTATCTCTCTAACAATGATATTTCTTTTTCTCTCTCTCACTTTCCTCCCTCCCTTCCATTCTCTCTAAAAAGCAATGAAAACAAAAAATAGCAGAAGTTCAGAAATCTGAGGTCCAGAAACTTGCCCAAGTCTGACAACCTCAGTGGGTCTGGGATTCCATGCCTGACTGTCTGAGCAGGGTCAGGACACTGCAGGGTTAGTGTATTTAACACTGAGCTACATTAACATCTTGGGGGCAGCGAGAAAAGCACCGGGTGTTAGGCCGGTGGGGTCAGACTGGACCTAGGTTCAACAACCTTGGTACTTGAGTTCTGGTTAGGAAAGAATTCAGAGCCAAGACTCAAACTATAAGAGAACATTCATTTAGAAAATCACAGAGGTAAAAGTAATTTATAGAAGAAATGGGCTTAGGAAACAAGTTAGAGAGGTAAAAGAAAGGGCCCTTAGAATATTTCAGAATTTTTCTCTTGTCAAAGAATAAACCCTACCCCACCCGTGGGATACTTTTTCTTTTTCTTGTCAAAACAAGTGAATTACTAATTAATCCTCACTTAAAATTTGTCCATCCTTTCCTTCCTAGGATATAGGAATTGTTTTGGGGGAAGGTAAGGGAGAACCATGAGAAAGTGGGAAAATCTATAATAATATAAGTATAATATGCTAATTAGATTGGACAGCCAATCAACCTTCTGGACATCGTTCCGGACGTTCTTCTGGATGAAGCCACAGAAGTAGAGGTCAAGGCAGAGGCAGTTAGGGGTGATCAGGCAGGCAAGCAAGCAGTCAGGGGCGATGAGGCAGGCAATCAGAGGCAGTTAGGGGTGGTGAGGCAGGCAGGCGAGTGGTTAGGAATGATTAGGCAGGCAGGCGAACAGTCACAGGCATCCTCAAACTTTTTAAAGTGGGGGCCAGATCACGGTCCCTCAGAGAGCTGGAGGGCCGGACTATATGAACTACTAATTCCTTCTGTAACACCTCGGCTGTGCTCACTGCCCAAAAAACCTGGCGGGCCGGATCAGACTCCTCTGCGGGCTGCATGTGGCCCGCGGGCCGTAGTTTGAAGACGCCTGAGAGGCATCAGGCAGGCAGAGGGATTAGGGGCCATCAGGCAGGCAGGCAGTCAGAGGCGGTTAGGGGGATCAGGCAGGCAGGTGGACATCCCCCAAGGGATCCTGGATTGGGAGAGAGTGCAGGCCAAGCCGAGGGACCCCCTCACCCCCACGTTCATGAATTTCATGCACCTGGCCTCTAGTTGTGTTATAAATATCTAGTTTATCAATTGTAGGATGGGGGAGTGAAAACTGTAAAAGTACAAGTGGCTTGGCTAATGTGTTTCTATTAAACACTCTACTTAGGAAAGCTATTCCTTTCAATTAAAAACACACATTTATTTGAGAGAGAGAAGCATTATTTGTTGTTCCGCTTATTTATGCCTTCATTGGTTGATTCTTTTATTGCCCTATCTCCTGGAACCTTGGCTTATCCGGATTATGTTTTAACTGAACTACTCAGCCAGAGCTTAAAACCTAGAATTGTATTATTTATTACTAGAGGCCTAGTGCACAAATTTGTGCATGGGTGGGGTCTAGTCACCCCCATTGGGGTGGGGAGGACCTATTGGGGGCGGGGCTGTTGAGGGGCAGGCCCTGCCCCCTGGTTGAACTCCTGGTAGAGGGGATAATTTGCATATTAGCCTTTTTTTTTTTTTTTTTTTTTATATAGGAGAGGTGGGGAGTGACCAGAAAGAAACAACCAGGGATCGAACCCGCAACCTGGGTATGTACCCTGACCAGGAATCAAACTGGGGACAACACTTAACCACCTGGGCCACACTAGCCAGGGCAAAAGCTATAACTTTAAGGAAGGATAGTTGTTCTTCAGATAAACTACCTTGTCTTGAATTTCTTTTCCAGCCTTTCAGTCAGTAGTTGGAGTTTGCAGTCTCTTCCACAAAATATCCAGCTAAATATCCAACAATAATCAGGGGATTGGACTTGGACGACAGGAGGTTAACAGTAACCACCAAGACTAGGGAAAAGTCAAGGAAACTACCCAGATTGAGTCGTGGGATATAGGCAGGGGAGGCGAGAGTCCTGGCAGGCTGGGCCAGCCAGGCTCAGTGGTTGAGCATCCACCTATGAAACTAGGACGTCAGGACTGGATTCCCCCTCAGTGAGTACCCCCAGGCTTCAGTCTTGATCCACAGACATTCAGGAGGCGATTGATCAATGATCCTCTCTCATCACTGATGTTTCCATCTTTCTCTTCCTCTCTGAAATATATACATACATATATATATATACATATATATATACATATATATGTGTGTGTGTGTGTGTGTGTGTGTGTGTGTGTGTGTGTATTTATTTATTTATTTATTTAAAGGGTGGAAAGCACTGGGGATCTTCCTTTCTCCAAACCCTCCAGACAAGCCTGAGTCATCAAGACTGCCCCGGGGCAGAGCACACTCGAGGTCCTGGGGGATCCTTCCTGTTACGCGCCTCCTCCCAGCAACATCCTTAGTTGCAAAATTTCCGAGAAGGTTAATGAATACGGCGGTGAAGGGAGGTGGGGAGTGACCAGGGTTCACAGAGGAGGAGGGGACACAGAACTCTCAAGGACTGCCAAAGTGCGGGTGGAGCCTGGGAGCCAGCGAGTGCTGCCCTCCCTACAGGAAAGAAGCCAGAGCCCTTCCCAGAGCCCTGAGGACCACTCGCTCGCCGAGGCCCTGAGGACCCATCGACCATGGTGAGTGCCCGGTCTTGGGGCCGAACGGGGGCTACTGGGAGGCCGCTTGACCTCCGCTCTTCCCAGGTGCGGCTGCTGCTGCTGCTGCTGCTGCTGCCGCTGCTTCACGTCTGGGCGACCACGCCGGAGCCCTGCGCGGTGGACGACGACGATTTCCGCTGCGCCTGCAACTTCACGGCCCCGGAGCCCGAGTGGTCCAGCGCCTACCAGTGTATGAGCGCCGTGGAGGTGGAGATCCGCGGCGGCGGCCGCAGCCTGAAGCAGTTCGTCAAGTTCGCCAACACCGACCCGAGGCAGTACGCGGACGTGGTCCGGGCTCTGCGTCTGCGGCGGCTCACGGTGGGCGATGCCCAGGTGCCCGCTCTGCTTCTCTTCGCCCTCCTGCGTGGGCTCGGCTCCTCCCGCCTCAACCATCTGACCCTCGAGGACTTGGAAGTGATCGGCTCGACGCCGCCGCCGCCTCCGGAGGCCACCGGCCCTGCGCTCTCCACCCTCCGTCTCCGGAACGTGTCCTGGGCGGCGGGGGGCGCCTGGCTGGCCCAGCTGCAGCTGTGGCTCAAGCCGGGCCTCACAGCGCTGACCATTGCGCAGGCACACTCGCTCGCCTTTCCCTGCGCTGACCTCCGCGCCTTCCCCTCCCTCACCTCCCTGGACCTGTCCGACAACCCCGGGCTGGACGAGCGCGGGCTGGCCGCGGCGCTGTGTCGGGACAAGTTCCCGGCCCTCCGGGAGCTCGCGCTCCGCAGCACCGGCGTGCAGACCCCCGGCGGCGTGTGCGCGGCGCTGGCGGCGGCGGCGGTGCGGCCGCAGCACCTGGACCTCAGCCACAACGCGCTGCGCGCCGCCGCCGCGCCCGGCGCGCCCCCGTGCGTCTGGCCCAGCGCGCTGAGCTCTCTCAACCTGTCCTCCGCGGGCCTGGAGCAGGTGCCCGCAGGACTGCCGGCCCAGCTCAGCGCGCTGGACCTCAGCAACAACCAGCTGAACAGAGAGCCGCGGCCGGATGAGCTGCCCAAGGTGAGGGAACTGGCACTGGCCGGGAATCCCTTTCAGGACCCGAAGAACTCTGGTGTGGTCTCAGCCTGCGAGCGTCTGATCCAGGCCCTGGGGCTGTCAGGAACTCTGGTGCTGCTGCAAGCGGCCAGGTCCTTGGCCTAAGGCTCAGGAGAAAAGAAGGGATTGGCTCAGAATGCCCTGGTTCCGGACGGGACCTCTCAACCAACCACCTCTCTGCCCCCCTATTCATTAAAATCTTAAACAACGGTCCTTGTCATTCACTGAACAGGTGTCTGCTGCGTGTCTGCTATGTGCTGGGCACAGGGCTGGATGGGGAATCCATTATACTGAGACTTTCTTTTTTTTTTTTTTTTTTTCTTTTTTTTTTTTTTTTTCTCTCCTCCACCAGGTTCCCACCCCACCCTCTTCCCTTTCCCCACCCCCCATTGTCCTCAACCATTGGTGCACAGTTTATGTTCAGTATCTTCCCAAATCCCCCTCTCCCCTTTTCCCCAAGAATCGTCAGTTCACTCCCCTTCCATACCTCTAATTCTATTATATTCAACAGTAAATATTGTTCATCAGATTTTTTTTAATTTCCTTGGTTTTTAGATTCACTTGTTGATAGTTACGTATTTGTTGTTCATAATTTTTATCTTTATTTACTTTCTCTTCTGAAAGAACCCCCTTCAGCAATTTATATAATTCTGGTTTGGTGTTGATGAACTCCTTTAGCTTTTTTTTAATTAGTGAAGCTCTTTATCTGACCTTCGATTCTGAGTGATAGCTTTGCTGGATAGATTATCTTTGTCTGTAGGTTCTTACTATTCATCACCTTGAATATTTCTTGCCATTCCCGTCTGGCCTGCATGGTTTCTGTTGAGAAATCAGCTGACAATCGTATAGGTGCTCCTTTATAGGTAACTATCTTCTTTGCTCTTGCTGCTTTTAATATTCTCTCTTTGTCTTTTGCTCTTGGAATTTTAATTATGATTTGTCTTGGTGTGGTCCTCTTAGGATTCCTTTTGTTTGGAGTTCTGTGCGCTTCCTGGGCTTGTAAGTCTAATTCTTTCACCAGGTGGGGGAAGTTTTCTGTCACTATTTCTTTCAGTATATTTTCGATATCTTGCTCACTCTCATCTTCTGGGACCCCCATAATTCTGATGTTGGTTTGCTTGAAGTTGTCCCAGAGGTTTCTTACATTATCTTCAATTTTCTGGATTCTCTTGCCTTCTAGCTTCTGTGGAGGAGTGTCTTCCGGCTCTTTATGTTCCAAATCTTTGACTTGATTCTTGCGATCTTCCATTCTGTTTTTAGGATTCTGTATAATATTTTTTATTTCACACAATGTATTCTTTATTTCTTGTTGATTCCTTATTAATTCTAGTTGATCTCTTTTCATATCTTCATAGGTCTTATCGATCTTTTCTAGGAAATTCTTCAAAAACCTTATAAGCGTAGATTTGAGCTTTATATCCAGTTGCTTTTTGTCCTCCATTTCTTTCATTTGTGATCTATTTCGTTGTCGCATTTCGCAGCTACAGATGGGGCGGGGTTTCAGGGTGGAGCCTACAGCTTTGGCTTCCATCAGCCCCGCCCTATGCGGCTCCTGGGTCTCAGGGTCCTTCAGTACTTGCTGCAAGGGCCTCTGAGAGAAAGGCGCCCTCGATTTTCACATGCTACCAAACAGTCTAGGCTCTCCTCCAATGAGCCCGGAACTGGGGTTCAGTTCAGTTGGTAGTGGGATTGGAGGTGGCGTTCAGAGCAGTCTGGAGCCCCTGTCTCCTTTCCGTCAGGGCAATTCCGCGGCACAGCCAACCGTCCCTTCTCTGCGTGCAATGTGCGCACCACCGGGACTTCCTTTCACCACTTCCCCCGGGGTTCCCCCCGCCTTACAGCCCAGCTCCCTCTGGATGAGCCTGGGTCCCCGGGGTCTGGCCTAGAACTGGGGTTAGGAGCAGTCAGAACTGGGGCCCAACACAGTCGGAGCTTTTATCTCCTTCCCACTAGGGAACGCCAGCCAGGCACTCAGCCTCCCTCCTCTCCGGCTCCATCCTCTCTGCGCGGCGTGTCTCCGTACCTTTGGCTTTTACAGCTCCTCCGCTCTTCCTTCTGGTTTTCTCCTTGCTTCTCATTGTAGAATTTCCAGTCAGTCGACTTTCCTGTAGTTCTGGGTAATGTCCATTTTATATTTTAGTTATATTATTGAAATAGTTGTGTGCGGCTGCGGCTAGGTGTTTACCTGGGCAGCCATCTTGGATTCTCCCATTATACTGAGACTTTCTTTATCCCAACTCCTCAGAAACCACACCTCAGTAAAGGCTTCAGGGCCAGAGGGGCAGGGAAGCGTTGCCTGTCTCGGGCTGTGTAGAAGAAATAAGGAGTTTCTGTGCAATCCGGGCTTTCTGCGCAGAATCCTGGAGCCTGTGCTAAAGGGTGTTGGGATAGTAAATATAACCAGGAAGACGCATTCATCCCTGTGCATTTTCCACGAGCCAGCCAGTCCCTTACAACAGTGTTAAAACCCAGAGCCATTTGCTTTCTCTTTTTCTCACTCACTCTCTCTTTCTCTGTGTCTCTGAGAGAGGAGTTACAGCTATGCCAGCGGTCTACATAAACTCTGAGTTTCATAATTCAAAGATTTCTCTCCTGCTGTGGCTTCCACTGTGTCCTCTGACGAGGAATTTGGAGATAGGGAAGTGATGCAAGAGAGGTTTTGTGATTGTGTCAGCATTCGTGTGTACTGTAATAACTGTTTCAGGCTGGCTCTTTGATTTGCAAACAGAGTAACATCTTAGACCTTCACAGCTTCTTAGATCCATCACAAGGCAATTAACAAGATGTGCCCCTGATCCACCTTATCTGAGGCCCAGGACATCAACCAAGAGGTGCTGTTTTTTCTAAGACTTCTTTGTTCGTTCATGAACTCTAGGAGAGAAGATACCTGCCTCACGGTGGGGGGGGGGGGGGGGGCGGGAGGCATGCAAGCACAGCCCTCCAGACTGCCTCACTCGTGTCCAGAACCACACTGATAGGAATGGAGAATGAAAATTAACATTGATGGGAGCGTTTCGTGGGTCACTTGACCACAGACTCAAAGAATCCTCGAAACAGCTAAGTAAACTGCCAACCTCAGTCAGGAAAACCCACTGGAGTGTCCTAACGGGGACTTTATCCAGCCTGTTGGGACATTTCTAGTATCAGAGAATTAACTACCTTAAGCGGTACCTTACATTGAATAGCTCTTCACCAAACAGTGCTAGAGCCCGTTTCCCCCCAGGCCCTGTGCTGGGAGCCTGGTGTAACAAACATACATCAGAAGCATCCTTGCCCTTGGGGAACTCTCAATCCAGTAAAGGAGACACACACAGAAGGTAGTTGTGATTCAGTGAGCGGGAAGAATTAACTCTTTGAGGGAAGGTGTGGTCCTCGGGAAGGCTGTACAGAAGGCAAGACATTTCATGTGGGTCTGAGAGGTGCCTGCCACTTTCTCAGGAAGGACGTCCCAAGCAAACACGGGCAGCATGTTAGAAGGCTCAGATACCTGAAATGACATGGCCAAACCTGGGAATTATAACTGATTAGATGGGGCGTAAGCATTTATTCAAGTGCTTAAATGTGTCAGGCACTAGGTTAAACCTTGTGACTATTGCAGGAATAAAGCACAAGTTCTTGTTTGTATGGAGTTCAGATTCTAGTTGGCTGATGGGGGTGAGAGGAAGATAATAAACATACATCAGACTTTGACAAGTGCCACGAAGAGAAAGGAGACAGAGTGTTGAGTATTGATATGTTATATAGGATTGTTAGGGAAGGCTTCTCTCTGATAGAGGATATTTGTACAGATACGCGAGTGAATTGGGAAAGAGCTTGAAAATATGGCAGGGGGAGTGGGGGTGGGTGAAGCAAATACAAACATTATGAGGTCTTTGAAATATTCAACAAAACTATAAGGAGGCCAGAGGGGCTGAAGGAGGGTAAGCAAAGGTGGTGGGGAGAATGGTAAGAGATTGAAGAGTAGCAGGGCCAGATCATGTAGTGCCTTCTAAAGCAATGCTACTCAAAATGTGGTCCAAAGCAAGGCCAGTTTGCAAATTATTTATTACTGCACTGTGAGAGATAAGTAAAAAAAAAAAGTCAAGAATAAGTAATATAAAACTTTATAAAATTTCACACTGCAGCAATGTTTCTATTATATTTGACAAAATTATCATCTGCAATGGATTGGAACTTTAAAACAAAAACTTGGTCCCATGCCGCAGAGAGTTTGAGAAACACTTAAATATGGAGCCATCTCTCACCTCTGACCTTAGAGGGAAAATTTTCAGTCTTTCACTATTGAGTATTCCATGTTGACTGTTTGTTTTTATGGTTGTTTTTATTATTATTATTTATTTCAGAGAAGAAGGGAGAGGAAGAAAGAGATAGAAACATCAATGATGAAAGAGAACCATTGATTGGCTGCCTCCTGCACGCCTCCAGCTGAGGATGGAGCCCACAACCCGGGCATGTGCTCTTGATTGGAATTGAACCCAGAACCCTTTAGTCTGCAGGCTGACACTATCTCCACTGAGCCCAACTGGCTAGGGCTGGTTTGTTTGTTTTTAATTGATTTTTAGAGAGAGAAGAAGGGAGAGAGAAAGAAAAAAAAATGTTGACATGAGAGTGAAACATTAATTGCCTGACTCCTGCACAACCCCTTCCAGGGATCAAGCTCACAACCTGGTCAAGTGCCCTGACTGGGAATCAAAACAAGGCAAACTTTGGTGCATGGGACAACACCCAACCAATTGGGCCACATCAGGCAGGGTATGTTCATTGGCTTTTGCTGTTGTTGTTTTTGTTAATCCTCACTTGAGGATATTTTTCCATTGGTGTTTTAGAGAGAGAGGAAGAGAGGGGGAGAGACACAGAGAGAGAAACATTGATGTGAGAGAGACACATTGATTGGTTGCCTCATGCACACCCTGACCAGGGCCAGTAGTGGAGATTACAATAGAGGTACATACCCTTGACTGGAATTGAACTCATGACCTCTTTTAGTCAAAGGCCGATGCTCTATCCACTAAGGCAAATGGGCTAAGGCTCACTGATTTTTAAGATAAGAGAAATAGCATGGCTATGTGCAGATGGGAATAATCTAGTAGAGAAGGAAAACTTGATGATTCAGGAGAAAGAAGAAAGTCATGCTGGAGGACTTCCCTTTGAATAGATAAAAGGGCATGGTACCTAATTCACCAGTGGAGGGGTTAGCCTTAGTGCAAGCC